GCGCGCGTCTGCTGCTCCGCGCCTCCTCTGGCGTCTGCGCCTGCTGCCGCGGCTGCCGCTGGCTGGGTCGCGTGGTTGATCTGCTCCTCCAGGCGTTGCTTCCAGTCGTCGCGGCCGATCTTGGCCTGTTCAACTGGTGGTCTTGGCGCAGCTGCTCGGTCGTCGCCAGCGCTGCGTGCCTCATCCTCGCGGGGGCTGGGCCGAGCTGCTGCCGCTGCCAAGAGCAGCGCCACGGCCCCGGCCGAGCCCATCTTGGCTCTGCCGTCGCCTCCGCTGTTGTCGGGCTGGCCTTCGCTGCTGTGGAAGACCGACGGCTGGGACTCTGGGCTGCCCGTGCCGCTGAGCCTGAGGAAGGTCCTGGCCATGCGTTGTTGGTCGTCGGAGAGTTCTTGCCCTTGTTGCCTCCGCTCGCGGATCCTGGTGCGCATGACCTCACGGAGGGAGACGCTGCGGCCCCACGCAGTGTAGCACACCTCCTCCGCGAGCTGCTTCTTGTAGGCGCAGTATTCGTCATCGTCGGTCGTGTTGAACAGGCAGTCCATGTCCTTGGCCTCCATCAGCTGCAGCACAAAGGGGACGCACCAGTTCAACCACATCTGCTGCTCGTCCAGTTCCTCGTTCTGCAGGAACTCGCGGGGCACCCATTCAGCTCCGATCAGGCCGATGGTCGTCGTTAGCTCATCGAGGCGGTCCCTGCGTCCTGAAGGCACCGAGCGGGTGCAGGTACTGGCCGAGGACTGCCCTGGGCGGTCATTCTTGATGAGGGGGGACTTGGTGACGATGGCGTGGTCCGCAACGACGTGGAGCTCGCTCTGAACGAGCTCGATGCCATCGGACTCGATGCTGTCGTCCGCGTGGCTGCGCGAACTCCTGTTGAGTATTTCCTTGAGCCTGGCCTCTCGGCGGGCTGCACCCGCTGCCATGGCCTCTCTGGCCGCAGGGGGTCCTGTCGCGGCCTGCGCGTCTGGGCTGGCGTCGGTCCCCGCTGGGCGGCGCGCCTTACACTGTGGCTGCGGTTTGCCTGTAGGCCTCTGCGCGGGATGCTTGTTCGCATTCCCGCGCGTGTCGGCCTCGGTGCTGGCTGGCTCCTGCGCCTCCACGGGCGGTTGGTCTGTCTGGGCTTCTCCGTGCTGGGGGCCTTGATCTTGCACCCCACGCTGGGGTGCGGGCTCGAATACTGTTGGGGTAGCCCTGTCGGTGTGTTCCGCTGGTCCCACGGCGGTCTGCATGAGCTGCAAGTCTTCATCCTCCTCGGGTCGGCTGCGCCCGCCTGCTGCGTTTCTTCGCCAGGCCTGCTCATTGGCTCTTCGGCGTCGGAGTTCGGCTCCTGGTACAGCTTCGGCTTGGGTCTGGCCGACTTGTTGTGCTCCGAGTGTCGGCAGGTCCATCGCTGCTGCTTCCTCGGCGGTCCCTGCCTGGCTGGCAGAGTCTTCTGGCCTTGCCCTCCTTCTGCCTGCGCTACTGTCTGAGCTCCAGCTGTCACCAGTGGGGCTCTCCGTCGATGACCTTGATGGCCATGGTGACGATGGGCTGGCTGACTGATCTTCTTCTCCCCCGTTGGCTCCACCAGCCCCGAGATCTCCTCCTTCTGGTTCGGCTCTTCCAGCCCCACCTCGTGGGCCTTCGTCGTAGCTAGCGTTGTCCTGGTAGATGCTGTAGTCCCCTTCCACCCCTGGCTGGGCCCCAAGGTGCTGTTGGGCTCCTTCGGCAGGGGCCTGCCCAGCCTGTGGTAGTACTTGTGGATGGGCCTGGCCGACCTCGCCTTGAGATGGTGCTGCATCAGGATGGTGGTAGTTGTCGTCGTCGCTGTCTGGTTCGGGCACCTGGTCCCAATTAGGCCATGGTCGCCTCCAGCCTTCCGTGACGAGCCAGTTGGGAATGTATGTTGGCCTCGGCAGCGCGGGTGCTGGTGCTGTGGGTGGTCCATACCATACTCCTGCGGCCGTGCCGTGGGGCGGAGCCCACTCTGGTGGCTGGCCTCCAAGGTTGGTGAGGTCACCGTTTAGCGTGTCCGTCATCATTCGGTGAACCTCGTCAAGGTTGGCCCAGTGCATCGCGACCACGTGCAGCCATTCACTTACACTAAGGGACTGGATGTGGTCCGTCAGCCGCTGGCGCATTGTTTGCGTGGTGGCCCACGCGACATTGATGATACCACGTACGTAGTTGAGGATGCCGCCGGTGCCTGCGATGAGCTCCACTTCGCCGCGCAGGCGCCTGTGAATCGGGTTGCTGAGCAGCGCCGTGACGTACTGGTTGCCCCATGCCGACCATGACGTTAGCCCTGCTTCTGGCGAAGTGAGGTCATGGACCCACGTGGCCGCATAATCACTTAGCCGTCGGCAGAGGGCGCTCAGGCTGGGGAAAGACTGAGTTTGCCTGGTCACCTGCGCTCCGTGTCCCCTGCCCGTGGGGTCGTTGCTGTTAGATTGTTCCAGCCTCCGTCTTGGGCGCGGGGACCTGGATCTCGGAGCGTGTGGCTCAACTGACCCAGCTTGCTCAGCCTGCGCTGGGGTCTGGGGCGGCCCTTCTGCGCGGGCCGCTTCGTCGGGCGCATCCGTTTCACCCTCTGTTGCAGCATCAAGCTCTGGGGCTGGGGGGTGTTCCGCTGCTGGCGCTACTGCGTCGGGCAGGCCTGCGGGGTCCGCTGCTGCTGGGCTCTGAGGTCCTTGGAGGAACGTCCTGTGCTGCTGCTCGTTCGGAGGCCTTGCCGCTGCCGCTGGAGTTCCTCCTGCTGTGTCGAAGGAGCCGTGGTCGGAGAGGGAGTCGTTGCCTGGGTCGTGCTCCTGTGGCTCGGCGCTGGCGTTGGACTCATCCTGGTCCATGGGGATGTAGTCCGCAGAGCTGTTGAGGTGCCCATCGCGGAATGCCTCACGATGGTGCACCTGCTGCCTGGGGATTAGGAAAGCCCTTGCCGCGGCCTGGTAGGCAGTGAGGCGCTGGATCGCTATGGTTAAGTCGTCGCCATGGCGTGCATGTGGGCCAGCCGTCGTTCTCGCATGATGTGCCCACCGTCCCATCCTCGGTCACATATCTGTTCGGCACGGCGTTGGAGTTCGGCATCGTAATCGGCGTCACTGACGTACCTGAAGAACCCATCGAAGTCCTCGCGCCGCAACTCCCGCTTGACGTAGTCCACGCATAAGTCGTTCCAGCTGACTTTGCCCGCGTGGCTGTCGACCAGGTCGGTGATCCACCAGCTGGAAAGTTGCTCCGGCGCGATCTCAAAAGGCTCCAAGTTCTCCTGCGCCACTACGCCATGGATGTCATTGCCACACTCCTTTAGCTTGACGTGGTGGGCCGCTGGGCCCGTTTGGAGTTGGGCCGCCTCGTCGCTTGGTTCTTCGCCTTCCACCTCCTGGTGCTGTGCTGCTTGTCCTCGGCGAAGTGCGGGACAGCGTGACTGGTCGCTCGTCGGGGGGCTCAAGTCCAGCAGGCTGTGCTCGCGTGTGTGGTTCCCTCTGGGCTCGACCTCCTCGTTGCTGTCGGCGTCGAAGATGCCCGCGAGCCCGTCTTCGCACGTCCTCAATCCCGTGAGTGACATGATGCGCTGGCCCGGGTCGGGGATATCCTGCCTTGCTTCTTGCTCGTCTGGGTCGCTGATGCTCCTGTCTGAACAGCCTGATCTCGCGATTGGTGGGCTGCGTGAACGTTCAGGTCTGCACGATTGGGAGCTGTCTAGTGGCCGAGCATCTTGGCTTGTGTCGGTTGGGGGAAGGGCACCCCTCTGCATCCCTTCTGTCTCGGTCGGCTGCGTCGAGACCTTGGTGCGTGGATCGGGCTCGTCTTCATTGGTGCTGTACTCGTCGTTTGGCTGCACACTCCGATGTTCGCATCGGCGCTTGGTGGTGTTGTCGGTGCTGGTGGCCCGTGGTCTGCGTGTGCCCTGTCTCGGTCGTTGCTTGGGTCGCTTCGGTGCTTCAGCTGGGTCGGTGGGCTCTCCTGAGCTGCGCTTGGCTGAGCAGCAGGTTGGGTCACCATTTACTCCTGAGCCTGGGGAGCCATCTCCAGGATTTAGCTCGAGACTCCTCTTGTCAGCTGAATTTACTCCTGAACCTGGGAGGCCATCCCCAGGATTTGGTCGAGGCTTCGGCGGGCAGTTTACTCCTGAACCTGGGAGGCCCTCTCCAGGATTTGTATTGCTGGGACTCCTGCCGCCATGATTTATCCCTGAGCCAAGGAGTCCATCTCCTGGGGGATTTGCTCGAGGCGTCGGTATCAGCGTTCCAGCCCGCGGGTGCTCGCCTTTGCTTTGGTTCGCCTGCTCGTGCCCGAGTGGCGTGCAAGCAGTAGCGCCGATAAGCCTCTATGCTGCCACTTCCGCTTGGCCGTGCCCGCTTCCATCGCCGCTGCACGCATTGAGTGGTTGGCTCTGGGTCTGCGGGGCGAGTCGGGCTTGGCGTCCGTGCCGTCTGGCCACTTGGCCTTGCCTGGCTTGGGGGGCTTGCATCGCCGAAGGCGGTCGAGCTGGTGCTTGGCTGCAGGCGTTATCCAACCACGGCATCGGTGTCGGAGTCGTAACATGCGGCTCTTCCCGTCGGCGGAGAGGGGGCCCATTGCTCCACATCGCCAGCGCCAGCATTGCCCATGCAGGTAGCTCAGGTTGTGCGTTGGGTGTATCGGGCCATGGTTCATGAGGGTGGCGTACTCCGACTTGGGTACTTTGGTGGTCCGCCCGCTGCTATTGGCTACCATTGGCATTGCATTGCATCCATGTGTCCGCAGCCAGTCGACCATGGAGAACTTGCCAGGCCCCCTGCTGCACTCGAGGCAGACCCACTTGCCGTCGGTCCGCTTGTGCATTCGGTGGCCTGTGTCTTCCTCGACCTGCTTGCGTGCGTGGAAGGCCCTGACCCCTCCGCCCCACTGGCGCGTGCGGGTGAGCCGTGGGTGGTCGAGTCCTGCAAGGTGAGCAGCGACAGCACCTATTCTGCGGTGGATTCGCTTGAGGAGCCTCTCTCTCTCTCTCTCGATCGGGGCGGCGACCTGGGGGGCAATGCCGTTGGCTGCGATCTCGGCCCCTCTCTGCGCGTACCCATCAGCGAGCTCGTTCCCTCTGGTGACGCGCATGGGCTGCCTGATCTGTTGAATCGTGATGACGTCGATGTGCGAGTAGCACTTGATGACGGTGAGGTCTCGTATTCCTCCTTCTCGCTCTCTGATGGCATCTTGGATGCGCTGCCACCATCTAGCCAGGGGGCCCTCTGGGCGGGCACAGCTGTAGCTGCGCCACCCGTCCGCCACCGTCTGGGAGTCCGTGACGATGGTCAGTGGTCCGTGGGTGAGCTTGAGCGTCCAGTAGATGGCTGCGAGCTCTGCTGCTGCGACGGTCTGGGGCCCATCCAGGATGCCGAACCAGCCTGGGTAGTCGTCGATGTTTGTGCCTGTGTCTTCGGGCAGCTCCAGCGATATGCCCCATCCTGCTCGGGCGATGCGCTTTCCGCCTGACGTGACTGAGCTGTCAGTGTATGCAGCCGCAGCTGCCACGGAGCGGGTGTCGCCAGTGCGCTTGCCGAAGTTCCCGACCGCCCAGTGCGTGTCGCCGGGGCTGCCCCACTCTGGGGGTGGGTCGATTGGGCACATATCGTTGGGCAGGATGCCTCTGACCCAGAAGGCGTGTTCCAGCGGGTCGTCTTTGACAGCTCTCGCCCTGGCCACCAGGGCCACCGTGCTGGTGACCCACTGGTCGTCGATGTCGTCCGTGGCTGGGCACTCGTACAGTCTGTGGAATGGCGTGTCGTCCACTCCCAGCTGGCAGCGGGTGCACGTAGGTTGAGTGTGGCATCCTGCTGCATGACATTTGTGGTTGGTCCAAATCGCTGCGCATGCGGATGCTTCAAGCGCGCCTGCCTCTTGGTGCCTCTCTAGCTTGCGGAAGAGACTTGCGCTGCTCTGGAGCGCCGAGATGTCGGCGCCTCTCTGTAGTCCTTGTCCTTCAGGGTGCCTGCTCGCCTGGCTCCAAAGGAGGCTGGTCGCGGCGTCCTTGATGGCCTCCTCGACCTCAGTGAGGTTGGCATCCACGGCATCTGAGATTTGCCACATGTGCCCGCGATGGTCAGTCCACTGATCCGCTTCCTGCCCCTTCCAGCCAAGGACCTCGAGAGAGAGCTGACGGGCTGCCATGGGGCCCGTGGCGGCCATCCATCGGCCTCGCTTGGTGGCGCTGTTCAGGTGGATCTGCACGCGGTGCCATGCTTCGCGGAGGTGGTCGCGTAGGTCATCATTGCGTCGCCACATGCGCACCCATTCGCGAAGTTGGCGGGTGACGTTGGCCGTCCACGGTTCCTTGTCGCCGTGCGTGAGGATGAAGACCGTGGCCGTGCATCGGTGCCCCGCCGTGATGCCCGCCATGTCGGCTGCCTCGGCTCGTGCCCTGACGATGTCGTGTGGGGTCATGCCCGTTGCGGCCTGGTCGTGCTGCTGATTGGCCCTGATGTTGGTGCGGTGCAGGCTCGCTGGTCGTCTTCTCCAACGGGCTGCCCGCAGGAACTGTGTTGGCCCGCTTCTTCCGCTGCCTGGCCTGTGATGCACGCTTGGCCTGGGTCGCTCTGCGTCTCCTTCTCCCAATGGTGGTGTCGCAGCCCAGGTCCTTCATGATATCGGCCTGCGTGAGGGTGAGGCCCATAGCAGCCGCTGTGGCGCCGACTGCATCTCGGACTGCTGGGTGCGAGGCGACTAGCGCAGACTTCCCTGAGATGGGCAGCTGGTCTGGGTGCTGCGCTGGTGGCTATCTGGTGCCCCACGATGCTGCAGGCCCCCTCCGCGCGGATCTGCGCGTCGTCGACATACTGGCGTGGCCATGTCTTCGGTGCGGTGCGGTGCGCAAGTTCGAGGATGTCGTATAGCATCATGCGAGCCGCATTGCTGGCGTGGTTGCAGCCTGCAACGATGCTGTTGCATGGCACCAGTGGGGCACCGTACGCACCAGAGGCTCGCACGACCCGCGGCGCCACATACATCAGCGTGCATAAGTAGAGCTCGACGGGCTGGTATTCCAGGGCATCCGCCTTCTTGGTGAGCTTGACCAGGTTAATGCTGTCATAGAATTTCTCGAAGTCCAGAAACAAGCTTGCCCATGCTTCAGCTGACTGCCCGCGCGCAGCCGCTTCGTCCCGGCTAGCCGCGACGATGAAGGCTTGGAGCGCGGAGCTGCCAGTCACCGCTGCGTCCCAGAAAGCAGCCCTCTCGTCACACCATTGCCCCACCTCGTGCTTGGTGAGTCTGCCCCAGGCTCGAGCCAATATGGGGAATAGCCCGGTGGGTCTTCCCTCCCCTGCGACCGCGCTGTCGTTCTGCCTGAGGAGCTGGTACCACATGTGGTAGAACTGGTGGGGCCAGGACAGCGTTGCTTCGCAGTCATTGATTAGGTCGGTCAACTCTTGCCTGGCTGGGGTCGGAAGGGCGGCCAGCTCTGCTGGACTCCACTGGTCCGTGCCCCTGCCTGTGGTCTTCTTGAACTGGCGCACGGCTTTGTCCAGGTCGGCTAGCTCGCATGGCCTTCGGTTGCGGTTGGCTGCGTCGGCCTTGGCGCGCAGGCCTTCCATGACTGCCTGCAGGTCCTGCGAGTCTGTGTCCCTCTGTCAGCGCCTGCCCCAGGCTGCCGTGCGCAGGTTGACCCCCTCCTGGAGGTCGCCTTCTGGGTGTCCATCCAATGGGTCGATGGTGACTTCGCTGAGGTCCTTCCGCTCTGGCTTGCTGAGGTGCCTGTGTCCCTCGCCCATCGATCCTTGGAGTGCTTGCTCCGTGGAGTGGCGTACTGCAGATCTGGTCTCCTGCCAAGCCTTCTTGTTGTGTGAATCCGCACGTTGGCGGACTGCCTCTACTGTTGTCACCCACTCGTCCTGCTCGTCGTCTGGGACTGGTAGGCGCTGGCCTCGGACGAGTGCCTCCGCACATCGGAGTGCCCTGCTGTCTTCGCTGGGGTCGTCTTCCATGAGCTTCTGGGCGTCCCTGATCAGCTGGCATGTGAGTATGATCACGTGTTCGATAGCCGCACGCTGCCCAGAGGCGCCGTTAGTCTTGAGGCATACATTTCTGAGCTCGGTCAGCCTGCCTTGCAGTGTGCCCCACATGTTGACTTCAGGTCTCCGAGCCGCCCCTTGGTGGCCTCGCTGATGCTTCAGGAGGCTGGTAGCTGCAGTCCATGCGTACTTGATGGGCTGGCCGCGCCTGGCGTTGTTGCGCGGCTTGACCTCGCATAGATCTGCGAGCGTCTTCTCCGCCGCCATTGCCCAGTAGCCGTATCTCTCGCCCAAGCTGCCCGCGCTGTCTGGGTTGGCCCTGTACGCCAGGGAGCTTTGGACCCAGGGCGGGGGTTCCCCCAGCTGGCAGTGGGCGGCGTAGTCCTTGGCGTTGGTCCATGCATCGTCAGCGCAGAAGGCATGGTGCTTCTTGGTGTAGGTATCGCTCGTCAAGTGCTGGAGGTTGGCGAACTCATCGTCGTCCAAACCTTCCTCGACGGCCTTTTCGTACTGCTGCCTGTCCCTCTGTGCCCGCTTGATACCTTTGGTGATCTGCGTCTCTACGGTCGGGGTCTCGAACCTCCTGGGGAGCCACGGAATATCGACTTGGACTTCGCCTGGCCTGGCCGCGAGTTGGATGCGCAACCCAAGATGCGGCCCCCATGGGACTTGGCGCACTACATCCACTGATTTGATGTATGGTCTGGCTGAGTCGGAATACAACAGATAGTCAAGGACTCGGCCCTTGCCGCTGGCGCAGGTGAGGTCGGCATCTGGCGCCAGGATCTTGCACTTGAGTGCCTGTGGCCAGCGGGATGAAGCCATCTCATCTGGCGCACAGTTAAAGTCCCCGACTATGATCCACGGCACTCCGAGCGACCTGGTAACCCTGAGGATGTTGCCGAGCTTGGCGCCGCTGTTACCCACGAGCCCAATGCTGCAGTCCAGGTAGCAACCGATGAGCGCGAAGGTGCCATGCCGTCGACGGATGAGTGTGACCGTGGCGTCGCTGAGCCGGTCATGGAAGGCGCCCTTGCCCGTCTTATCTGGTAGGTGTGAGAAGGTATTGAGGTCATTGCGGCGTAGCCAACATGTGCCTCCATGCGGGCCCTCTCTGCGTTCTGCTTGCCCTGGCCGCACGGCTGCTCTGCGGCTGCTGGTGGCTGGCGTCCAGGAGCGCATAGAGCGCCACCCGTATCGGCGCAGCCTCTGCTCTTCGGCGTCACACTGGGGGCGCGTAAGGTGCTGCTCCGCAAAGCCAATGAGGTCGAAGCACTGCGCTCCCTCCACGAAAGCTTTCGCCGCGTCGTTGTACTGGCTACAGTTGCCGAAGAATACCTGCACGGCCTCCCGTTCAATCAGCGGCTCCCAGCTGCCCGCTGACGGTACCCTACCGAGCCTGCCGTGCACGGGTTCATCGGCGTCTTGAGGGTGTTCACCTGGGTATGGTCGCTGGTGCGGGCTGGTCTGCCTAGCTGCTTGGCCTCTCTTGGTGTCCAGGGCGCTGGCCTGGTTCGCCATGGCCTGGCTCGGTGTCGAAACGGACTCGACGCTCAGGCTGTCCGCCTGTGTACTGCTGCCGCTTCCCCTTGGCAGTCGCCTGGGACTGGCCAGTCTGGCAGTCTCCGTCACCTCGAGCGCGAGGGCCTCCTGCTGCGGCGGCTGCGCTCGCAGCTGTGCAATTGTTCGCAATGCTGGTGGGCTGGCTCCAGCCGCCCGCGCAGGCGCCCGACCGTGGATGGAGGGGGCGCGAACTCCTTCCCAGGTAAGAGTTCTGGCCCCCCTCAATAGTCCAGCTGGCCGCCTGGTTGCCGTTGGGCTCGGGCGTGGGCAGAAGTCTGCGGCCCTCGCACCAACGGAGGAACTCCGTGGCGATGGCGACGGAGTTGCCGAGGTCGTCCGTCGTGGGCTGGGATTCGGCAGGCCGTGCAGCCGCTGTTAGAGTGTTGTGCGTGCTGGCCAGGCTAGGATGGCTTCGGGGGTCCCCCGCCCCCGCCTCCTTCACCAGGGCCCCCAGGAGCGCGAGCGTGAGTGCCAGTACCTTGCTCGCCCTTGCAATCCTGCCCGTTGGGTGCCGCCTCCTGAGCTTTGGCTGCACGCTGCCGAGCCCTGATGGCTGTGGTCTGGTCGAGGTACTTCTTGGCATCATCGGCGTTGGAGAAATCGCACTTGGCGGGGTCGGTGGTGGCTCCAGCGGCCTCCTCTTTGACTTCGACCTTGGCCTCCTCTGTAGCTTCTCCTTCTCCGTCTCCCACGCGGCGGCGCTTCTTGGCAGTGACTTTGGCCTGGAGCTTCCTGAGGGTGTCGGCGACCTCCTTGATCGACGTGCTCTGGTCCTTGGCGGCACTGTAGACCTCTTTGGCTTGCCGCGCAAGCGCTGCGGCCTGGGCGTACTTGGTCTTGGCCTCGGGGTCCAGGAGCTCCAGGTCCTCCTCAGAGAGCTCGGGCAAGTCGCCCCACTGGTCCTCGGTGGCCTGCTGCTGCTGCGTGGGCTGTGGCGTGTGTGCGCCTCCTCCTGCTTTGTTGACCTCGCTCTGGAGCTCATCAAGGGACTTTGGCTTCGATGACCTCGTCGGTGGTCTCGTCGAGTTTGACAAACAGCTCCTGCCTGCGCTTGTCCAGCTGCGCGAGCTGGCCTGTGACCTTCTCCTGGGCCTGCTGGGCCTGTCTCCAGCGCAGCGCAGCGGCCTCCAAGCGCACCCCCAGCTTGGGCTCAGGGTTGGCGGGCCCCTCTGGTGCAGGCGCCAGCACGGGGAGCTTGGCCAGCGTCTCGGCTGCCTGGGCGGCCTGGGTGTCCCCCGACGTCTTGGCGGACTTGACCACAGCCTGGATCGCACGGAGGCTGTCATCATCCAGTCCGAGCGTGGCCAGGGCCTGCTTCGCCGCCAGCTTGTCCTTGTCATTGAGGTCGGCGGGCTTGGGCCACGTGTATGTGCAGGTCTTACATCCCTCCCAGCCTGGAGTGCCCGCACGCTTGGTGTACACCCAGCTCTCGCCTGGTGGGCAGTACGGGCAGACGAGGTACTCCCCACGCCTCTTCTGGCTGCTCTGCCTCTGCCTTGGCTTGCTGGGCACACGCCGCTGCCAGCCGCCCTGTTGATGATGCTGCTGCGTGTGCCACGGGGCTGTGCCGCGCCAGTCTGCCCCTTGGCTGCGGCCGCCGCGGCCCATGGTGTGCACGTAGCAGTCGTCGTTGTTCTGAGATAGCTTCTGCAGCCTCCTCGGAGGCCCCCCTCAAGCCACGGGCCGCGGTGGCGCTGCGGGCCCACCCCGCGCGCGCCCCACGACGGTTCGTGTATCGATGGCGGCCCTGGCGCGCGCGGCCACCGCGCGCGCCTCGGGCCACAAGGCTTGAGAGGAGGAGGAGGAGGAGGAGGAGGAGGAGGAGGAGGAGGAGGAGGAGGAGATGGAGGAGGAGGATGAGGAGGAGGAACGACGCTCCACACCTAGTTTTGCGAGTAATGAGTTCCTCCTCGATTCCGTCATGCTCCTCGCCCTCCTCTTCCTCCTCCTACTCCTCCTGCTCCTCTGCCCTCCTGCTCATCCGGCTCCTCTTCAGTCTGCATCCTCCTCCTCCTCTCCGCTTCGAGGCGATACTCGCAAATCTAGTTGTGAACGTAGCTGCACAGCTAGTTTTGCGAGGAACCTGCCGCTACGAAACATTACTCGCAAAACTACTTGCGAACGACGTTCCACAACTAGTTTTGTGGGTAATGAGTTCCTCCTCGATTTCGTCATGCGCCTCGCCCTCCTTTTCCTTCCTCCTCCTAAATGCTCCCCCTGCTCCTCCGCCCCCCTGCTCCTCCTGCTCCTCTTCATTCTGCCCCCTCCCCTCCGTTTCGAGGCGATACTCACAAATCTAGTTGTGAACGCAGCTGCACAACTAGTTTTGTGTGGAACCTCCCGCCACGAAACAATACTCGCAAAGCTAGTTGCGACCAACTCTCCGCAAATAGTTTTATGAGTAACGAGTTCCGCCTCGCTTTCGTCATGCTCCTCACCCTCTTCTTCTTCATCATCCTGCTCCTCCTGCTCCTCTGCCCTCCTGCTCCTCCTGCTCCTCTTGGTTCTGCCCCCTCCTCTCCGCGTCGAGGCGATACTCGCAAATCTAATTGTGAACGCAACTGCACAACTAGTTTTGCGAGGAACCTCCCGCTACGAAACATTACTCGCAAAACTAGTCGTGAACGACGCTCCACACCTAGTTTTGACAGTAATGAGTTCCTCCTCGATTCCGTCACGCTCCTCACCCTTCTCTTCTTCCTCCTCCTACCCCTCCTGCTCCCCTGCCCTCATGCTCCTCTTCATTCTGCCCCTTCCTCTCCGCCTCGAGGCGATACTCACAACTCTAATCTAGCTGTGAACTCAGCCGCACAACTAGTTGTGCGAGGATCTGCTCTTTTCCTATCGTAATATGATCGCAAGCTTGATCACATTCAATTGGAATTCTTTGGATCTGGGACCTGCCCCGTTCCTGTTGAAATCCAATTAGCATCCTATTCAAATCAAATGAAAACCCTTTGGATTTAGGAGATGCTCCGTTCCTATTGAAATCCGATTAGGGTCCTATTCAAACTCAATAGGAATCCTTTGGCTATGGGATCTGCTCTGTTTCTAGTGAGGTTTCCTTCGGATCCCATCCAAATTCAATCTGAATCCTCTGGCTCCCGCCTGAAAGGTCCCCCAACAAGCACTCAAAACGAGGCTCCCGCCTGAGAGGTCCAAACAAACATTCAAAAAGGTCCAAACAAACAAACACACGACAGCATACAACACGCAACGGACAGCTCCTTCCTCCTCCTCCTCTCTGAATCTGGGGTCTGGTCCTGGCCTATTGAATTCCTATTCGAATCCAATTCAAATTCACAATTCTTTGAATTCCTATTTGGATCCTATTCAAATGGATGGAAATCCTCTGGGTCTCCTATCTGCTCCATTTCTGTTGACTTTCCAGTTGGGTTGGAATTATCTGGATCTGGGGCCCGCCCGATTCATATTGAATTCCTATTTGAATACTATGCAAATCTAATTGAAATTCTCTGGATCTGGGGTCTGGTCATGTCCTATTGAATTCCTCATTGAACCCTATTCAAATTCACGTAAAACCCATTGGATTTGGAATATACTTCAATTCTTTGAATTTCAATGTGCATCCTATTCAAATGGATTTGAAGTATCTTGATCTCGGATCTGCTCCGTTTCTGTTGGCACTCCCAAAGGTTCTCTTCAAATCCAATTGGAATTCTTTAGATCTGGGATCTGCCCCATTCATATCAGATTCCTATTTGAGTCCTATTCAAATCTAGTTGAAAATCTTTGGATAGGAGGAGGAGAAGGAGGAAGAGGAGGAGAAGGAAGACGGAGCAGGAGGGAGGATGAGAGGAGGATGAGATGAGAGGAGGAGGAGGAGTGGAGAAGAGGAGTGGAGCAGCGAGAGCGGTTCCTGTTCAAAGCCTTTGAAGGCCGAAAGGCCGCCATACCCATCCAGTCTGGCGCCGCGGGCTCATGGGCACGGACCCACTGCCAGTGGGGAGCCACCGCCACGGGCGGGGGCTAACCTCAGGTCGGGCATGTCCCCCTGCAGGCGGATCTAGCACGACAAATGAAACATGCTCAGAGAACACCCACAAATGGTTTAAAGAGAATCACTGGAGAAATCGTCCCCTGACTATTTTTTCCGCTGTTCTCAATTATTCCCCCGGTAGAGGGACACGCCCGACCTAACGCTAACCTCCCCTAGGAAAACGACCGGGTACACAGACCCGACCCGACACCGACGACAACGACGACGGACCTGACCGTGGACACGCGATGGGAGGTCAAAACGCGCCACCACCACCCACGAGCAGCACCGACCCAATCTACAGCACCCTCCCGACAGCCGACCCCCGACCCCCGACCTCTTTGTCGGAGGGATTCTTCTGGCCATGGGCACGAGAGCGGCCAGCCGACGCCTCCGTGAGATGACCGAGGCACAATACACCCCCCCGAATTTGCCACTGGCAGGCCTTCCTTCCCGAGCGCCCGCAACTCGGATCGTCATCGCCGACAGCAACAATCGGCTACACGCAAGAGTGACCCTGGGTAAAAGTGACCTTTGGTGCGCGGCTTTTTGGGGGCCGCGGGGGGACCAAACCTGGGCGCGCAAGCCGCTGCTCCTGCTTCGTTTTCAGCCATCTGGGGTCCCATCTGTGCCCGCACCAAAGGTCACTCCGGCGAAAGGTCACTCTTACGTCTAGTCGAAACAAGCCCGACATCGAGACCGACGCCTACGACGCTAGGTGCCGTATCGTTCGCTCCGACATCTACGCGGCCGGCCACCGCCTCCGAGCAGGCGCGAACCTCACCGTGGCTGCTGGGCATCTCAGGGTGGCCCCTGGCCACGTCCCCGGCGAGGGCTCCCGGGCGCTGGCTGGGGACCGTCCCGCCGGGACGCCCTCTGGCTTGGGGGGGGGGGAAGCGCCAAACAATAACGCAAACAAGCACACACACAAACAAACAAACACACAAACACATACACACACACAAGCACACACACACGCATACACGCACACGCATCCTCGTTCTCCTCCTCCTCCTCCTCCTAGTTCTCGTCCTCCTCCTCCTCCCCCCCCCCTGGAGGCGGGGCCGCGCCCGCGAGGGGGGCCAGCTGCTGCCGCCGCTGCAGCGGCGGCCCCGACAGCGCGGGCAGCGGCGCTGCGGTCTCCGCCGCGGCCTCGCGCCGGCGCGCGGGGGGGCCCTGACTCCGGATCCGCCCTGCTTTGGGGAAGTTCGTACTGCGGGACGGCGATTAGTTTTAAAAATGGGAGAGAACGATTTAAACAAAGTAGTCTTCTGCGATTTCGGCACAATTTTCTGACTGGAAGAGAACGGTAAAAAAAGTTGTCCAGCCCGCGGCCGGTTTTTTCTAATCGTCATCCCGGGCGCCGCCGCGTGAACACGATCCCCGGTCATTTATTAATCGTCATCCTCCATTAAGTGGGGCCTGGAATTTCCGACTTACTTTTTTCAAGCCCCGCTGATGCCAACTTCCGCCCTGCTCTTCTGTTGCTGCTTCCGCCCTGTTCCTGAGGATTTCCGCCCTACTTATGCTGGGTGCAGAAATTTCCGCCCTACTTCTTCGGCTTCTTTGGATTTCCGACGCAACTTTAAGATGGGAAAACATCAAAGTAGGGCGGATCTGGAGTCAGGGGGACGATCGAGGGAGGAGCGGGGATAGGGGAACAAAAAGTCACACAAACAGAAAAACTCGGAGGTCCGCGCGGATTCCTCGGATAGGCGCTGGACCCGCCTCCCTGGCGCGCAGGCGCGGCGCCGGAGGCGCCGCCGGGGGTCCCAGCGCCGATCCGAGAAATCCGCGCGGACCTCCGAGTTTTTATGTTAATGCCACTTGTTGTTCCCCTAGGGGAGCAGGAGGGGAGAGGAGGAGCGGGGGGGGGAGGACCAATGGAAGCCCAAGGCGCATCAGCGAGTTCACAGCAGACCCTCCCTCCGAATTCCCTCTTCGAATGCTGACATGAAAGAATCGACTCTCGTTGCGGGAAGTGGCCCATGAGGAGACAGCCGTTTGAGAATCCCCAACCGTACGAAAACACAATTCCTGGGACTTCAACGGTGCGGATTAACGTGACCGTATCGTCCTGACAACCTTCAACCGTCTCAGCATACGACTCCTGGGACTTCAACGCCGCGTATCAACATTACTGTTGCGTCCCAGCAATTCCGAATCGTGCCAAAACGAAGCTTGTGGGACTCCGACCATACCAGTCCGTGATACTGTTGCAAAATTGCCAGGCGAATGTGCGCGGTGCTACGTGTTAAGGCAAGAGCCCACTGTGCACGATGGTATTCGTTCAGCCTTGGCAAACAGTGCCCCTAAGAGCCAAGCGGGGGAGAATGGCGCACGCACGCGCCTTACACGCCCACTATATAACACCTGTGCAAGGTCTGTCACGAGGTAGCCGGTCGGCCCAGGGGGCGCTTGCGACAAGCGCAGAAACCGATCCCACTGAAGGGGATATGACAAGGCCGGCCAACACGACCCCAGTCACGCTGCAGATTATTTGCAAGTGTTTCTTCGCCTTCTTGGGATCCGGCTCAGGACCCGGCGCTACGTCAGATAATCCCGCGTGCAGTATGCTGACAAGGAAATCGGTGGGCATGAGTTTCGTAAGGCAGCAAAGAGCCATCACACTACAGGCTGTAGCATCGATCCAACGGATCCTATCGCAGAACTTGGCAGGATGCAACATCTCGGTATCATCAATTCTTTTGTCCAAATGTCTTGAGGTAAGCTGATCAGGTCCACAAACGATTGTCCTCTGTGTTTCACATCGTTGGTGTGGTCAGATGTTCCAGACTCTTACATACTCTTACCGTCAGCCATCCAAAGACGCCGCACGGTCATTGGCTCACAACTCTGACCAGCTGGGATGGAGCTCACGACCTGTTCCTAACATGCCCCGGGCGTCGGCGATGGCAGCGCGAATGCGTACACTCGACTCCGCTCCCCAAAGGCTGGCCAGAGCTTCCGCCTGCAACATAAATTTACACACGCGTCGAATCACGTTACTTGACAAGCAAGTCGAGTGAACGTGATCACTGTTCCCCTGGACGAATCCCATCCCTGCAAGTCCGTTCAACCGTGGCTTCCAGGACCTAAGCGGTTCCAAATTGCACTTGACGGTGTCTTCCTCTCCAGCCCAGCTGGCATCGATTACCGTCAGGACTATCATGCAACTGTCCCAACTAACGGCTCTCCCCTTGAATGCGAGCCAGCTGTACGCAGTTTGTACTGCCTCCTCCAAAACACGGCTGCCTTCGTCAAGATTCATTAAGGTGAAGCGCCTTTGCATAATTTACTGCGGTTTGACGTCGACTCACGCGGTATAACAGCTCGGGCTTGCAATGTCGAGCGATCCATGACATAGCTCCGACTGCAGATCTGAGCTCCCA